GTATTTCAAGCAAAAATGTTAGATATGCTTAAGCAAACTGGTCGGCCAGAAATGGTAGTAGGATGGTATCATTCTCATCCAGGATTTGGTTGTTGGCTCTCTGGTGTAGATATTAATACACAACAATCATTTGAAGCTCTTAGTGAAAGAGCAGTGGCTGTTGTTATTGATCCTATACAATCAGTAAAAGGAAAAGTTGTTATTGATGCATTTAGATTAATTACTCCTAATACCATGGTATGTATTACAAATTAAAATAAAAATTTTCTTTCAATGTATACACATTTATTATTAATACTTATATAAAATTATAGGTTTTAGGACAAGAACCTCGTCAAACTACATCCAATTTAGGTCATTTACAAAAGCCATCTGTTCAAGCATTGATTCATGGTTTAAATCGTCATTATTATAGCATTAGTATCAACTATCGTAAAAATGAATTAGAACAAAAAATGCTATTAAATTTACACAAAAAAACGTGGATGGATGGTCTTACGCTTGCTGAATATTCAGAACATAGCAAACTTAATGAAAATATTGTATCTGAAATGCTTGAACTTGCCAAAAATTATAACAAGGTATGACATTAAAATATAAAGTATATATTTTAATGTAAAAGTTTTTTTTATTAAACATATTAACTTGAGAATTCATATTTGTAGGCATTAGAAGACGAAGAAAAAATGACACCTGAACAATTAGCTATAAAGAATGTGGGTAAACAAGATCCAAAACGGCATTTAGAAGAAAAAGTGGATACACTTATGTCTACCAACATTGTTCAATGTCTGGGAGCTATGCTTGATTCAGTTGTATTCAAATAACTATTTCTTAAAATACTATTTGCAATATATTAAAAAAAAATATACATCTTTTTAAAATATACGTGTTTATAATTTACACTCAAAAAGTATATATAACATATAAAAATTTTTGTACTACTTATTTTTATATTAAAAGTGCAAATAATGGACAAGTAGATTTTCACATTTTTATTCAAAATGTATTTATGAATATATGACAGCCACATTTTCAGACATAATATATAATTTATTATTATATTATACATAAAACATATATATATATATATATATATATATATATATATATGTTTTAAAATATAT